GGTCCAACAATGTCGCTCTGGGCTATGATGAAGGGAGCATCATTGTTAAGGTAATTGTACTTTCTTTATTGGATGGACATGGGCACAGCCATTTTTCTTCCAAGTCACAGTTGTGTTAAACTAGCACTTCTTCCATTAACTAGTCAAGATTACACCGTGGCAGTTTGTAGTGGAAGAAAGGAAATAAGACCTCATGAGGGAAAAAAGAGAGTGTGTTTTTGGTTTACTCGTTTTCCTTTTAGTCACTGAGAGGTATTTGCCATTGTTCCAGCTTGGTCGGGAGGAACCTGCCATGTCCATGGATGCCAATGGAAAGATCATTTGGGCCAAGCATTCAGAAGTCCAACAGGCCAACTTAAAAGCAATGGGAGATGCTGAAATTAAAGATGGAGAAAGATTGCCACTGGCTGTGAAGGATATGGGCAGTTGTGAAATATATCCACAGACTATTCAGCACAACCCCAATGGGCGGTAAGCCATCACTAACATCCCTCTCTGAGCATGTGTGTGGTAGAGCAAGAGTATCCATACCCCTAATCATTCCCCCGTGAGTTTTGCCCTGGCTCCACAGTCACACAGTTGCAGGCAGCTGGGTCAGTTGGTGGGGCTGGCTGCAAGGTGCACTGTTTCCTTTTACTTCAGATGCATTGGATTTGTGTCAAAGACCACGTTTTATCCTAAGAGTAGGTGCTCTTCAAGTACGTCTGACTTGTTGCCCTTTAAAAATGTATGTTTTGTTATTTCTATTTTTAGTATATAAATGTATTGCCTGCATGCATGTAAGAACACCCATGTAGTGCAGTGCTTGCAGAGGTTAGAAGAGGGTGTCAGATTCTCCTGGAACTAGAGTTACAGGTTGTTGTTAGCCACCATGTGGGTGCTAGGAAATGAACCTAGGTCTTCTGTAAGAGTAGCCAGTGCTCTTAACCACTGAGCCATCTCTAGCCCCTGATGCGTTGCTTTTAAATAGAAAAAATAACTCCAGTTTGTTTTTCAAAGTTTGGAACTGGAAAACTTCCATTTCTTACTCATAATTTGAGTTGTCAATTCTGTTTTTCCATAAGATTTATAAAGTGCTGACTATCTTGTGAGAGTTTCTACAACAGCAAGTTTAAGTTTAGACTTGTAGAACTTTAAAAACTGTTTTGCAGTAGATCTGGACATTCTTTTTACATTTTACTTAAATTTTTAAATTTTTATTTATATAGATGAGTATTTTGCCTGCATGTAAGTGGACCTATGCATACAGTGCCTACAGAGGCAAGAGGAGGGTGGCTGTTGGATCCCCCCACAACTGGAGTTAAGGATTGTTGTTAGCTGTCATGTGAGTGCTGGGAACTGAACCTGGGTCCTCTGCAAGAGCTACCAGTGCTCTTAACCGATAATCCATCGCTCCAGCCCCAGATCTGTACATCTTACGCTATCTTGCATATTATAAATGACAAAATATGTTATCAAAGTTCAGTAAATGATATCTGAAATTATTTTTAATTATCTTACGAAGGTTAAGAATACATTATGTATCTCTTTTTTGACCTTAGTATCCTAAAACATTTCTGCTGTAAGGTTTTCATTTTGCCTTTGACAGTATTCTGATAGTGGACATCATCATGTTCTCAGTGGTGACACTGAAGAGAGTTTTTTTGGCCATTGGGAAAACTTTTTGACTATATAACATTCTGTTTTTATCCTATTTTGCTAAATCTAACAATCACTAAAATCTGGATAAGAGTTTTATTCCTCTAAATGATGAGCATCAACGTGCAGGTGAACAAGCATGCAGTTAGGTAGTGCCTTTTTATGTTATAAATGCTGTAAGCAGCAGTGTGGGCATCTTGGACTCCTCTCTACATCGCCACCTGTGCTCGCTGTCCTGTCCCTAATCTCGATCTCTGTCATTTATAAGAAAAGGCCATTGTAGTAACACTGTTGTCAGTAGTTCCATATTGATAATTGCTTTTGGGTTTGTTGCTTAGAATATTTATGTATATCTATATTCAAAGAAACATACAACTCTAACATATTGTTATACTAATTGACCATCATAGCTTTTGTTACCGAATTATTTTACCATGAATATGAGTTCTTTCCTGTGTCATTGTTGGTTTTTCTCCCTGACTTGCATCATTTCTAGGTTTGTTGTGGTGTGTGGTGATGGGGAGTATATCATCTACACAGCAATGGCTTTGAGAAACAAGAGCTTTGGGTCTGCCCAGGAGTTTGCATGGGCCCATGATTCCTCAGAGTAAGTTTGAGCTGTGTGATGTCCAGTTTGTGCTAATTGCAGATTGGTGTTAGGTGCCAGTGAGATTTATTCTTCTCTGTGTTGAAAACAGTCCCACCAGAGCCACTTAGTCAGAGGCATCTGTGGAGTGTAAACTGTCTTTGCTCTTTGAGATTTCACAATTGAGCTGGTTCACTCAAGCTATGTAACCATCCATTAAACTCGAGATCCAAGACCTATTTCCTTGATGGGGCTTATGGCAGAACCTGGTGCTTATGGGTTTAAGTAGGCTCTTGCATCAAGTCCTTATGAGCCTCCCAAAAGGTGGGTGCCCTTTATAAAGTAGTTGAAAGAGATGCTGTGATGTGATGTCATCTTGATGAGATTTTTATTGCATCTTTTAAAAAACTTATTTTTCTGTGATGCCTCACCTGTCCTTCTTAACCCATTTCTGTCTGAATTCAGAATATTAATAAAATGCTCTCATTAAAAGCAAGAGAAATCATATTAACTCTCTCAGATGTATATAATCCTGAACCACCAACACAGTCAAATTGTCCTCCCAAATATCCTATATCCCTTAATAGTCAGTCCACCCCCCGTCAGCTGACTCTACAACCTCAGGCAGATACTCATCTGCTTTTTTACTGTTTAGATTAGGCTTTCTTTTCCATATAACTAGAACCATAGGCACACACTCTTGGATATGGCTTTTGAGATTCATTCATGCAGTTACCTGTATCAATACGTGGTTTTCGTATGCAGAATAGCATTCCATTGAAGGAATATGCCACAATTAAAACATTTACCTAGCGATGGATATTTGTCCCATTTCTAGGTTCTAAAGTAGTTTGTAAGCCCTAGTAATTTGCACAGTGCATAGCATGAAACTCACTATTTGTCTAAATATAAAGAGTTCACTAAATCCTAGAACAAAAATAGGTCAGTGAATCTTCAAATGAAAAAAAATTTTTTGCATACTTAATATTTAATCAAAAACATTTGAAGGTATTTCCAGTGTTTCGTAGAATTACAGTTCATGTGTAATATGCTGTGTTTGCCTCCTCCACCAGGTATGCAATAAGAGAGAGCAACAGTGTTGTAAAGATATTTAAGAACTTTAAGGAAAAAAAATCATTTAAACCTGATTTTGGAGCAGAAAGTGAGTGCTATTTATTTATCATACATTTTTAGAATCTTTGTACTGGCTCAAAACATCTAAGCAAAGTCTCATTTTTTTTTAAGGTATCTATGGAGGCTTCTTGTTGGGAGTCAGGTCTGTTAATGGCTTAGCCTTCTATGACTGGGACAATACAGAACTCATACGCAGAATTGAAATTCAGCCCAAGCATGTGAGTTTCACTCTGTGGTTGCTTCTGGAAAGTTTGTCTTTGAATGTTTGTGTCAGTCAGGCCAAGAATAAGTTTGTCTTTTGTGTCAGTCAGGCCAAGAATGTCCTTTGTACCCTGCTGTCCCTGTCCCATTGTGTCAAACAACTGCCATTTACCTCAGAACTGCTCAGAGCATCAAGACTGTGGTATTTGAATCAGTAATCAGTCG